GATGATGGTCCCTCGGAGTGTGCGTTAGATGAGGTGTCATGTGACTATCATGTGATTAATAATGGAATACAGGAACAACTGGACATGAAACTAAAAGAATTACTGAATTTTATACATAAATCATTAAAATAATATTTATTAATTTTTATTGTTATCTTTAATAAATCCCACCCTTAAATTCCTAAGAGGGGTGGGGCTGTGCAGTAATGGCTGTTGGTGGAGGTGTCTCTTCTCTAGGTATATTTCTAGTTTAACATGTTCCAGATTAGTTTTATTGTAGGCATTGGTGACTTGCATGATGTCAAAACTGAGCTAAAAGAGTTTAATACGTCTGACTGGAGGAAATTTGGATCAGTAGCTGGCCTCAGATACAATACTCTTAATATAATACAAGAAAACAAAACAAAAGTTGAGGATCGCTTTGAAGAGTGTTTGGCTTGCTGGTTGAGGAGAGAGGATAAAGTTGATAGTAAAGGAAAGCCATCATGGAGGAGATTAGCAGATATATTAGAGGAACTTGGAGACAAAGCCTTGGCAGATAAAATTAGAAGCAGAAAAGGTAAATTAAATGATAATTAATTTATTATAATTTCTTTCAATTTTTAGGAGAGCAACAACTTGATCGAAAGATTTCTGGTGAGATTGAATATTATTATTGATAATTTATATACTTGATTTTGTTTAGTTCATTGTAATTTAAGGAGAGAGTATTATAGAATGAGCACTGAATATGGAGCTATAGTGGAACGTTTTGTTAATCTGGTTTGCAAAAAGAGGAAGGTTCTGGATGTACTTAAAACAAAAATGATTAATCATTGGTCAGTGAGCAAGGAAGAAATTGTTAAATTGAATCTAAGCAATAAAGGTACACATTACATTACTAGTACCACACTACCAGTTTGTAAAAGCATTATACATTAATCAGCAATGCATTATAACAAAAGTATTATACCGTACAGAAGGAAATTTTGGAGGGACTAAATTTTGGCGAATTGCTAAATTTTGGTTATTGGCGAATTTTAATTTGGCGAATTGTGGCCACGTGCCATTGAGCATGTGTATAATGGCTCAAAATGGCGAATTTTTATTTTGGCGAATGGCTATCAAAACGCCAAATTCGCCAAATTTAACTACCTCCGAAATTTCCTTCCATACGGTATTTAGTAACAGACTTTAAAATAGTGATAGATTACACCATGTACATTGAAATCTAATTGAACTTAGGCCTACAAGGTGAACTGATATATATAATTGGAAGGCACTGCTCTTCATGGAACTTTGACCTACTAATTATTTTAACACAACAAATGCAAATGACTACTATTACAAAGGAGCTAAATCAATTTAAAGAGAAACAGGACAAGACATATAAGGAGATTTTAGCAAGAGATTTTGCAGAAAGTGATATTGAATATTGTGGTATAATAGGTAGTCAAAAGGTTAGACATGTTTTATAGCAACACTAATGTT